TACAAAATTTTGTACATCAAAGATTTTGTATAAAGTTAGCCTAACTCAAAGCAGTTCAGTCAAACATAGTTCACCCGTTATTTATTTATTTATTGATTTTTTGCATTATTCAATGAAAAATCTATTTATACAATAATTATTTTAGTGGGGGTGTCTAGACTGAAAAACACAAGAAAAGCAAAGAAAAAAATAGCCAGTGTAGTTATGCTTTAACAAATGAACAAATGACCTTTTTTTTTGTATTTACTTTACAAATATCTTGTCTTCTGAATAATTTATTTGCCCCAGTTTGCACACATTTTCCCCCTAATAACAAGAAACCTTAAGATGAAAATAAAATGCAGATTTCAAATCAATGTTGTTGCAGTCGGTTTCTACTCATTAAGTCAAATGATATTTCAGTTCATCTTTACAACCAGCAAAAAAAAATTGGAGTTAGAGCAGTAAAACTTTCTAATATTTTTACCATTTCATCTTGTAAAGTRAAGTTTTGTGTTTACACCAAAACTGTATACACGGGTGTTTTCATTTAATATTTTAAGTTGCAGCTCTTTTTTAACYTAATAGAAAACAGAGAGTTTTTAATGCTTAGTTTGATTTTAAAACACCCCTATAGAGTAAAATGATGGGAAACTCAATGCCTCTGCACTGTTCCACCTGCAGAAGCTCAGTGTTTTCAGCACCTTGACTGCCTGACAGCTGAAATAGAGTTCTGTCTCTGAGAGTGAGGGTGGACCATTTTTAAGACATCTTTGTTGTGTTCAGTGTGTTTGTGGCACTCCGCCCCTCTTATTTTCACCCAGCCAGAGCTGATTTGTTATTCCATTTAAATGAAGAATGGCTATTGTTCTTAATCAAATGGTAACCATAAGCCGGAGGGACAGTAGCTGTCGACCACAGCTAGGCTGATTTACACCCCCTCTGTTTTCTTATGTGTGCGCTCCCTCCCTCTCTAATCTTCCAACATTTTTCTGTAATTCTCAGTATATTGCTCCCTCGAATATGCTTTTCCTGCCTCTGACTAATTCAGCAGCTTGCCTCTCATTTTTCTGTCTTATTGTTACGTCTGCCACAGTTCTTCTCCCTTTTATGCATCTTTTGCTTCCCTTTCTTCCTCTTTTTACTTTCCCATCTGCTCATTCTCTTACCTGAGCATTATTATGACAAGAAATGTTTCAGTTTCTTCTTAAGAACCACAATTATCCACCTTCCTGTACTTTTTCATTGTTTTTATCCACCTACAGTATGTCTGTCTTGCTTTTTTATTTTGTATTTTTTTTAATTTTATTTTCCAGAACGAATGTCTCAGTTCACACAAATATTATGTCACAGTTTGGCTTTCTATTTTCAGCAATATTAATTACAAACTATGAAAGTTTTATCTGTTGTTACATGAAAAAAATATATAAATAGCTACAACTGCACAATTTGAAAACTACATTAGATTATTTTCAGAAGAAAAACAATGAATGAACCGCCTTTTTGGTGTGTAAGTTAAAGTAAGCTTGTTGTATTATAATTCACTTTTTTTGCTGCAAGTTCTTTGTCTGGTTTTTGTAAAGTTAAAGTAACCGCAGCCACACAACAACATGGGAGYAATTAGATTTACCAATTGATTTGCATCTTTATTTAACAGCAAATAATAGCTTTTTCTCAGAAAAAAATATCATGACAAGTTAAGCGCTATGGAGTTTAAAACTAGAAACTTACTGATCAAAAATTTTCATTGTTTTTATGGTTTGTCTTTTCAGTTGGTGGAACCTTTGACGCCCAGTGGCACAGCTCCTAACCAAGCCCAGCTGCGCATCCTTAAAGAAACAGAACTTAAAAGAGTCAAGATACTTGGTTCTGGAGCCTTTGGAACTGTMTACAAGGTAGTTTACAGTTGATGATGTTGCCTAATAGAGTTACAATTTTTATGCAGTGATTGACAGTGCTTTAAGCCTGTAAAAAGTACAGTTTATGTGGACAAACGGTTATTGATTCTCCTGACCTGGTTTCCTCAGGCATATCTTCAGGGGTCTGCCTACAAATGCTTTMTCTCCTGTAGTTTTTAGTAGCACTTCAAAAACAGATTAATTGCCCAGGGATTTGTATAGTCTTGTCACATGAACCTGCATACAGACTTGTGTGTGTATAAGGTCATATGTAGCACTGTATAATATATATAAAGTCATAATGCTAATGTGATGTTGGACATCATGGGCAGAAGAGATGAATTTCACAATCATCAATGACTGAATCTGTGATGAGAAGTGGTGGGGTGGTGTTTTATGAAAAGAATAAGTTAGACCTGACGTTGAAACCCCTGAAGGAATGTTGAAACCAGAGTTAGCTGAGGTCATTATCAGTGCAACACAAGGTTCAGGGAAGCAGTAAAAGACAGCTGAAATTAGGCAAACACAGTTTGATTCATAATTATCCAAAGATAGGTATTTTACCTTGCTATTGCATCTAAAGACCAACAATGGGGTGTGTGTGTGTGTTGGGAAAACCATGAGAGAACCTTCGGTCTAGCCAAAAACAAACAAACGTAATAGTAGTAGTAGTAGTAGTAGTAGTAGTAGTAGTAGTAGTAGTAGTAGTAGTAGTAGTAGTAGTAGTAGTAGTAGTAGTAGTAGTAGTA